GACCCTGCCCTACCCAACTTGTGGGTCCATCCAAGCCATTTCCAGTGGCTTTCCCATACAAACTGCCTGTCTTTTGGGTCCTACTATGGACTTTCCTAAAATCTCTCAAAGGTTCACAAATTGCAAACAAGCAGCATCTGGCCTTGGCATGCCCCCCATCTCTCGCTAAGTGGCCCCAGGCCCGGCACTGGCGGCAGCTGTCCTGGACACCTCCAGGCTCAGCACAAATAGCAGCCATTTGCAGATTGCTCTGTAGCTCGTGCAGGGAGGCCCCAGGCAGGGCACAGGCAGTGGATGACCCTGCACCTCCTGGGAGGCCCCAGAGCCAGTGCACATGATGGACAGCTTCAGACCATGCTGGATTACAAGCCTATCACCTCCAGGAGCAACACACTCAAGGGGACTATTCTGAGCACCAAAGCCCTGCTGAAGCAAGTCCTGCTCCATAGGGTTGGCTCCTGCACAGCAGCTCCTCCACTGTGGTCTCAGCCAGCCCTTGCAGCCAGTCAGCCTGGGGTCAGTCCCTCCTAGTGACACCAGCAGCAATCAAGGCCCAACTACAACAGGACAGGGCACACATCCCACAGAGGGCGCACCTATGGCACCCAGTTCAAGTGACTGGGGAGGCTGCACCACTGGGCTTGTCAGGTCACCTACTACATAGGCCACTCTACCAAGTCCAGAAGACAGCAACTCTACCTAATACATAGAAACAAACTTAGGGAAGCAGCCAAAATGCGGAGACAAAGAAACAGGTTCCAAATGAAAGAACAAGAGAAATCTCTAGAAAGAGAACTAAACGAAATGGAAACAAGCAAATTACCAGATATAGAATTCAAAACAATGGTTATAAGGATGCTCAAGGAACTCACTAAGAATTTCAAGAAATTTAGTGAGAACTTCAACAGCATGAAAAAGGATTTAGGAACCATAAAAAAGAACCAGTCAGAAATGAAGGATACACTAAATGAAATGAAGAATAATTTACAGGAAATCAACAGTAGAGTAGACCAAGCCAAGAATCAAATCAGCAATTTGGAATATAAGGAAGCAGAGAACACCCAATCAGAACAGCAAAAGAAAAGAAATCCCCCAAAACAAAGATAGTGTAAGCCTCTGGGACAACTTCAGGTGTATCATCGTTTGCATCATGTGGGTGCTGGAAGGAGAAGAGAGAGAGCAAAAAATTGAAAACCTATTTGAAAAAATAATGACAGAAAAATTCCCTAACCTGGTGAAGGAAATAGACATAAAAATTCAAGAAGCACAGTGACTCCCAAGCAAGATGAAGCCAAAGAGGTCCACACCAAGACACATCATAATTAAAGTGCAAAATGTTAAAGACAAAGAATCTTAAAAGCAGCAAGAGAAGAGCAGTTAGTTACCTACAAGGGAGCTCCCATAAGACTGTCAGCTGATTTCTCAATAGAAACTTCGCAGGCCAGAGGGAGTAGCAAGAAATATTTAAAGTGATGAAAAGCAAGGAGCTACAACCAAAATTACCCAGCAAAGCTATCATTTCAAATCAAAGGACAGATAAAGAGCTTTTCAGCCAAGAAAAAAACTAAAGGAATTAATCACCACCAAACAAATATTATATGAAATGTTAAAGGGTCTTCTTTAAGAAGAAGAAAAGGTTAAAAATATGAATAATAAAATGGCAATAAACACATATCTATCAACAGTAGAATCTAAATATCAAAATAAATGGAGAAGCAAAACAGAAACAGACTTACAGATACAGAGAACATTTTGACAGTTGCCACATGAGAGAGATGTTGGGGGGATGGTTAAAAAAGGTGAAGGGATTAAGAAGTACAAGCTGGTTGTTACAGAATAGTCATGGAGATGTAAATGAAGTACAGCAGATGAGTATGAGATTTATTGGGATGATCACTTAGTAAATTATATAAATGTCTACTCAGTTTGGTATACACCTGAAGTAAATATAACATTGTATGTCAACTGTAATTAAAAAATAAAAAATGGCCCTGGCTGGTTTGGCTCAGCGGTTAGAGCGTCGGCCTGCGGTCCGGAGAGACCCGGGTTCGGTTCCCGCTAAGGGCATGTACCTCGGTTGCAGTTTGTCCCCGGCCCTGGTTGGTTGTGCGGGTGGCGGCCACTCGATGTGTCCCTCTCACATCGATGTTTCTCTCTCTCTCTCTCCCTCCTGCTCTATCTGAACAAAGAATGAAAAAGTGTCCTCGGGTGAGGATTAAAAAATAAAAATAAAAAAAAAATAAAAAAAAATAAAAAATGATTGAATGGCAAAAACATTTTTTTAAAGAAAAGAAAAATATCCAGGGCTGATTTTCTCTGCTGCCTGTTAGTTCTCTAAACATAGCCTCAGTGAGAGTATTTTAGCTAAAAGGAACACTTTTCAGATTCAAGGGAACTGCTGAAGGAAAAGAGACATTTAGATCTGATTTTTATTTTTTTTCCACTGCTTTTTACTTTTTTTATCCTCACCTGAGGACATTTTTGTACTTATCTTCAGATAGAGCCGGAGGAAGAGAGAGAGAGAGACATGGATGTAAGAGAAACACATCGACTGGTGGCCACCCTCATAACCCCAACCAGGGCCGGGGATGAACTGCAACCAAGGTACATGCCGTTAGAGGGAACTGAAGCTGGGACTCTCTGGTCTGATGCTCTAACCGTTGAGCCAAACTGGCCAGGGCATTCACTGCTTTTTAATAAATCAGCTTTAAAAGACTGCTCCTGGCCCTGGCCGGTTTGGCTCAGCGGTTAGAGCGTCGGCCTGCGGTCCAGAGAGATCCGGGTTCAGTTACCGCTAAGGGCACGTACCTCGGTTGCAGTTTGTCCCCGGCCCTGATTGGTTGTGCAGGTGGCAACCACTCGATGTGTCCCTTTCACATCGATGTTTCTCTCTCTCTCTCTTCCCCTCTCTCCCTCCCGCTCTGTCTGAACAAAAAATGCAAAAATGTCCTCGGGTGAGGATTAAAAAAAAAAAGACTGCTCCTGTCCGGCCCGTGTGGCTCAGTGGTTGAGAATTGACCCATGCACCAAGAGGTTGCCGGTTCGATTTCCGGCCAGGACACATGCCCAGGTTGTAGGCCCGATCCCCAATGGGAGGCATGCAGGAGGCAACCAATCGATGTTCTCTCTCATCAATGTTTCTATCTCTTCGTTTCACTTCCCCTCTTTCTAGAATCAATAAAGGAAAAAAAAAAAAACACTATTCCTGCCCCGGTTGGTTTAGCTCAGCGGTTGGAGTGTTGGCCCGCAGACCAGAGAGACCCAGGTTCCATTCCCGCTAAGGGGACGTACCTCAGTTGCAGTTTGTCCCTGGCCCCAGTTGGGGTCATGTGGGTGGCAAACACTCAATGTGTCTCTCTCTCGATGTTTCTCTCTCTCTCTTCCTCCCTCTCTCTCTCCCACTCTATCTCAAGATAAATGCAAAAATATCCTTGGGTGAGGATAAAAAAATAGACTGTTCCCGAGGGCGAATGAGCACTAGGTTTATGTATTTTTTTGTTAATCCTCACCTGAGAATATTTTTCCATTGATTTTTTTAGATAGAGTGGAAGGGAGGGAGAGAGGGAAAGAGAAACATCTGTGTGAGAGAGACACATCAGTTGGTTACCTCCCACACAACCCAGACCAGGGCTAGGGATTGAGTTTGCAACCCAGGCACGTGCCCTTGACCGGGAATCAAACTCAAGACCCTTCGGTCCTCGGGCTGATGCTCTAACCACTGAGCAAAACCAGCCAGTAAGCAGGCCCTTCCAAGGACAGCAGTCTTAGGCCCACTGTATTAACTCATGGTTTATTTCCTTTTTGATTCTGAGGCTTAGAAAAGCTGAGTTTCATAGAGTTTTGGTGGCCTTCCTAAGGACACACAGCTAGCAGGTGGCCAGGCCAAGGTGTGGAATCCAGGCGTCATGAAGGACACTGAGAAGAGGAGCCAGAAGGTCCTCTGTAGTTCAACCAGTGCGCTCAAGTAAAACCTGCAGTGACGAAAACGGTCTAGGTCTGCACTGTCCAACACAGGAGCTAAGGACATGTAGCTACTGAGCCCTTGAAATACTGCTAGGATGACTAAAGAATTGCATTTTAACTTTTATTTAATTACTTTAAATACGTACATGTGGCGAGTTACTGTACTGGACAGCACAGTATATCATAATGTAATGAATTTTCTTCTTGGGGGAAGTAGATGGGATAAATAGACTTTGACTCTTGTTCTAAACTAAGGCTGTACTGATCTGTATGTCCCTCTCCACGGATGCCCTTGTGTACATGCAGCAGTGGAAACTAACATGCAATATTTGCAAACTCCCTACAAATAGCTTTTCATTTGCTTGGATTTTTTGTTATCAAATAGGGATTTGCTCTCTAAAAATAAAGCTTTGAGGTGGACCCCACAGGGCAGTCTGAGGCCCATTCTGGTGAAGTTCCTGGCTAGACTCCATGCTACCCCCTTGGGAGCTTGGCCTGCACAACCGGTTCTCGGGCCTCTCTGTTACTGAGGGATGGGGTGTCCAGCAAGTCAAGACAGACTTTCTACCTACTTGCACCTTCTGTCTGATTTTGGATGAAGTGCTTATGAGCAGCCCAATAACCAGAAGCCTAGAGAAGAGATTTTAAGAACCTATGTAGTTAGTTAGATACCTGTGCCTCACTCTTGTGTTCATCTAACCCCAGGGGGTGACGTGGTCTGTGGGCAGCTCGTGGGTAGGTCTGGTGAAGGCCTAGGAGAGCCAATGGGTAATGCAAGCCAGCTTTGGAGTGAATTGCCCCAGTTGGAATCCTGGTTCCACTGCCTTAAGAAAGATATTTGAGGTCCCTGAGCCTCAGTATCCTCATCTGTAAGATGGGAAGATCACTGTGAAAATGAAGTGTAAGCATCCATAATGTCGCTGCTGCCTCTGGGCCAGGACTGTTGTCACTGCCTGCAGGCCAGGCTAGGTTGTAGAAGACGGGAAACACAGAAGGCAGGACTGGGCTGCCGCTGACCTGGTACCACTTCATTCCAGCAATTCCCCTTCTGTTTGATGTCCGTGAATATCACCCGCATTGCGATCCAGGCCTTAAGAGAGGAGTGTCTCTCCAGGTGAGTCCCCACGCTGCTCACCCCACCCCTCACCCTCAGCTGATTAGAGGAACCTAGCAGAGCCTGGTTCCCTCCCTGCCTGCCTCGTTCTCCCCAACTTTCTCCCTCGCCTGCTGGCTTCTGGGGGCACCCGGGTCAGTCTCCCAGCCCACCCCTCCTCGCCACCCCTGACCTCAGATGTGAAGGCTGCCCTGGGAATGGCTCCCCTGGGGAACAGCCAGGGGTGGGTGGGGGGTGTCAGCCTTGTCCGTGCTGAGCAGATCACCTCCCTTGTCCTGCAGGGAGTGTAACCGGCAGCAGAAGGTGGTCCCAGTGGTGAACAGCTTCTATGCCGCCACTTTCCTCCACCTCGCTCACGTCTGGAAGACGCAGCAGAAGACGATCGCAGACTCAGGCTTTGTCCTCAAGGGTATGCTCTTTCTCCCGGGAGGCCGAGCTCCCTCCTGGTGTCCCAGCTCAGGGCCTCAGGTGGAGGCTGCGCTGGTTTGGGCTGCAGTTCCCTCCCAGCCCACCCTCTGGAGCTAGTTCTCCTTTCTCTGCCGCCCTCTCTGTCCTTATACCCATGGTGACCAGAGTTTCTGAATCAAAGGCTGGGTCCAACAGTGGACTGGCTAGTCAAAGTCACAGTTGCCCTGGACAAGATGGTGTATGGTCCCTAGGGTCTCTCTAGTTCCCTGGTCTCCTCTGGTGAGCTCTCCATCTTAGGAGTCTCCTTCACCTTCTCCATAGGACCTGGGCTGGGGTGCTCCCTAGAGCCACTGGGCCTGGACTGTGCAGTTCAAAGCCCCCTCCAGCCTTTTGTTCCCAATGCTCTCTGTTCCAGACTTGGAAGTGCTGGCCAAGAAGAGCCCACGGCGGCTGCTCAAGACCCTGGAGATCTACTTGGCCAAAGTATCAAAGGGTCAGACCTCCTTGCTGGGAGCACAGAAGTGTGGTGGGGCACCAGCCCCTCACTCCAAGGACCTCACTTTCACAGGCGTGTGTGACCTGCCACCACACTCATCCGAAGGCACGTGGGTGGTGTGACCACCGGAGACTGACAGAAAGACTTGAAAGCTGGGCCGCAGGGGCTTTCAGAGGGTGCATGGCAAACCATTCAGGGGCACCATGGCTGGGCCAGGCCCCTCCCCATCTCAGCTGAAGGGATGCAGGAAGCTCCCGGGCCTGGTCAGGGGAGCCAAGGACCCTCATCCTCGTGAGACATGGCGGACAGCTAGACTTGGTCCTCTCCCCACAGAGCTGCACCCAGAGCGAGAACTCTGCTGTCATAGCGGGGTACAGCTGATCGAGTGGGGCTCCAGGTCATTTTGGGGAGAGCGAGGGGACCATGAGCTGGGAGAGCCCATCGGGATGTTCCACATGCCCCCACATTGAAGGACAATCCCAAGCAGGGCATTTGGGCCCCTGGTGGCCCTAGGACAGGGACCAGACGGGGATACATAGTAGTTAGAATCTGAAGGGAGATGGTAGCAGTGGCAGCAGCCAACAGGGGGCAGCATGGACCAGAGCAAGATGCCTGAGGCTGCTGCTGGGACAGCCTCCTCCACCCACCAGGCCAGGTATCAGGGCCCCTCGGGTTTGCGGCCTTGGCCTTGTGTTCGCCCCACTCCCTTCTCTCCCAGGCTCCTCCCGCTGGTGAGGGTGCAGGACATGGCCTTTGCTCTGTCTCTGTCTCCACTGCTGCCCACCCCAAGCGCCCGCAGCTGGGCTTCCCCGGGAGGCTGTGCAGTTCCCATCAGAGCTGTTTTTCTAGCCTGGTCGAAGGAAGGAGGAAATTCACACATCAGCAGTTATTGAATAAAGGAGTCATTCTGGATTAAGGGTTCCTCGTGTCTTCCTCCCGAGACAAGCCTGTGCCTTCCTGGGGCCCACGGTCCTGTTAGAGCCAGGCACTCCCTCCAGGCCAAGGCTGGCCGTGGGCTCCAGGAGAGGGTGCTCTGCCCTCGCAAACTCCAACTGAGTTCATAGGCTGTCCACCCTGCACTTGCAGGTCCGGAGACGCATACTCTAGCCAGTGGGCAAGGTGACCCTGGCTCTTAAGATTGACTGGTGTGTCCTGGCCGGTTTGGCTCAGTGGGTTGAGCGTTGGCCCGCGGACCAGAGTTGTAGGTTCAATTCCAGTCGAGGACACGTATCTTGGTTGTGGTTCGTCCCCGGCCCTAGTTGGGGTTGTGCGGGAGGCAACCAGTTGACGTGTCCCTCTCACATTGATGTTTCTCTCCCTCCCTCCCTCCCACTCTGTCTGAAGATGGATGGAAAAATATCCTCAGGTGAGGATTTAAAAAAAAAAAAAAGGGTTGACTAGTGTGAAGCATCCACACTGGGTTTTTCCTACATTTGTTTCTGGGGAGGCTGGCTCTGTTGCTCCATTCACAAAAGGGCCTCCAAGCCATGGCATCGTGAGCCGGGCTGGGGGTGGGCAGGCGAGAGCCCCCGTACATGGCCCTCCTGTCCTCTGCCCTCCCTCAAGTAGAGCCATGGAAGACACCGTCTAGCCCCTGCAGGCCTCTCCAAGTCTGACCCTCTGGACGTAGGGCCATCAGAGGTGGGGATGACACACGGCCACCCCAGTACAACAGGGTACTTGACCCTGCTGTCAGCAGGATGCCTCAGGGTGGGGCTGGTAGTGGGCCTGTCATTTTGCCCAACCTGAACCGATCTCTGTCCGCCCCACCTCCTCTAGTCCGGGTGCAGCCGACCAGAGGTGGCAGGGAGGTTGGCGGGTTGGCATGCAGAAAGGCCGCAGTCTGCCTCCGCTCGACGTCAGCGTCAGCGGTTCCTTCAGATCGCTTTCGCTTGCTCTACCAGGAGGCTTCTCAGCAGACCTGATGATGAACGCCCAGCCCACAGCACAGCCAGGCCCCGGCCAGGTGCGCCGCTAGCTGGAGGGGAGGCCAGCGGCCGCGCAGGTGCCCTTTCTTCCCGCATCACTCCTGCGTGATGCTCTGAGTGCTCCCACATTCACACCTGGGACACCAGCAGTAACAGTCCAGGGAGTAAGTCGAGGTTCTATTGATGGACTTTTGGGGGGGGGGGTCTAAACCCTCTGAAAGTAGAGGCAGAAATCTTAAATCGCATTTTTTGGAGGGGAAAGGCCTGCCTAGATCATTCACAGAATTAAAATGCTTCACAACCCTAAAAATGTCAGAACCACGAATGTGGTGCAGCCCTTACTCCCTTTTTAAAAATCATCCCTGCATCTTCCAGTTGAGATGGCAGAGTTGTGTTCTGAAAACAAAATCCTGCCTGGTACATGCTCTGTGCAGGCTGACAGGTGGGTGACTGGCCATCTCTGTGCAGAAAATGGGTACGAAGGGAGCTGATTTTTTATACCTCTTGGCACAAAATCAACACGATGAACTTGATCAGAACTTGTTTGGGATGGATGAATCAAACACGTCAGAGCCCAGAAGCCACGTGGCTCCGAGGGCCCACGGGTGACTCTGGTCTAGGCTTACACAGCCCACCTTGCTCTTGCCCGCCCTGGGTCATGCCCTTTGGGATGGGACTGTTTTGGGGCTACTCCACCCTCCCCCTACTTAGCTATGTAGCCTCTTTGTATTTCAGCCGCCACCTTATTACACAAGAGCATGAACTGAGGCCTGGACGAGGAAAAGCAACTGGCCCGGGGTGAGAACCAGAACCCACGACTCTGGTGCTTTTCCCGCAGCCCCATGGTGGCCCTAGTAACACATGGCGCAATGTGCCTACGACGGGACAAGCCAGAGTGAAAAGTGGTCGGTCCTCTTGCTTGGCGAGCACCCGTCATTTGGAAGCTGCCTAGCGATGGCTTATGAGGGCAGCTGCGGAAACACCGGCTTCAAAGGAGAGGCATCCCGGCCTGTTGCTACAAGCTTCTCCTAGTTGGGAATGTGAGACTGATCTGAACCCGGCTGAAAGTGATCCTGAGGCCTGGCACTGTGCCACCTCCCTATTGGGTTCACAGCAGTACCTGCCAGGCCCACTGGGACTCCCGGTCCCTCTGCCTTAATCATGCAAAGCCAGCTCTGGCCCCTGGGAGAGGGGAATTGTCACCGGGATCCTCCACATCAGCATGAGAATGAGCCCGGTGTGTGTGTGGGGGGGGGGGGACGGGACAGGGAGAACTAGCCCAGGGCAGGCAGGGCAGGCAGAGAGGGGGAAAGCACTTGTCTCCTTTATTGAACATCTGCAGGGGCACCTGGGCACTGACCAGGCAGCAGGCGGACGCCGTGAGATGCCCCTCACTTCCAGTTCTTGAAGAATTGCTTGAAGATGGGACTCTCGCGGCCCTGGGGCAGAATCTCCACCTGCAGGGACGGGAGGGGAAGGCTTGCTCACAGGGATGCCATCTCTGCCTCCAGGGTAGGGCGAGCCTGGAGGAGGGTGCTGGGCACCAGGCCACATGCCATCCGGGCCAAGGAATCTCCAGATAAGACACGAAATGAGAAAGATCACAGGGACACGGCTGAGGGAACACACTACCTGCAGGGCGTAGTGAACAGTTTTATAGAGGCACCAACTACAGGTGAACCTTATCAGCTCCCCTCAGAACGACTTGTGGAGTCACCGTGCTGGGCTGAGACAAGGTGGCACCAGCTTGGGACAATGGCCCAGAGGGGCACAAGCTGTCCAACGGCACGCCTGCTCTCTGGGCTCCGAGGGGAGCGCTGCCCAACGTCCTCTTAGGAAACAACATGGACTTCTAACTTGTCAAGGCTCCAAAGGGCTTCCCCCGGGGGGGTCTGGGGGGAGGCCTGACTATTCCTGAGGCTTTCCTGCCCTCTGTGTCCAGTGTCAGGGGCAGGAGGCCATGGGAAGGGCCCCCGGAGGAGGGTGGGGGACGCGGGCCGTGTCCTCACCTGCGTGTTTGGGGCATACCGCATGCGCGAGATGAAGCCCTCGGCCACCTGGAGGGCCGCCTGCCGCTCCTTCTCATTAGCTTTTCGCCCTGGATCACAGGAAAGAGATTTTCCAAAAGAGCAGGAACCCTTTCTGGCCCACATGCCATTTTTCTTGAGGTAACTTAAGGGGGTCCACAGAATATTTAGCAACGTTTAAAATCAATGGACCAGGAGGTACTAATGCTGAGGAACTCTGGAGGCTTGAAGTCAGCCCCTGCGTCTCTCCCAGCTTGGCGGCTCCGAGCCACGTGAAAGCAACTCCGAGCCACGTGAAAGCAGCTCCTCGGCCTGCTCTCATCATCAAACCTGTTCCGACCAGGGCCCAGCGACCGTCGCGAGAACTAGTGTTCTCCTGGTGTCAGACCTTAGGGCCATGGCCCACCCCGGACCCCGCCTCCCGAGCCTGTCAACTGGACTGTCGTCAAGCCTTCTTTGTACAACTGACCAGGACAAAGGGTGTGATTTACTCCAGTCTTGCTCCCATAATGCCAGACAGCAACACAGGCCTGATAGTTATGCCAACTAAGAGCATGCGAGAAGGAAGACCCTGGAGTCATCCGTTCTCTCCTACAGGCAGGTCCCTTGAACACAAAACAGGCTCCAGCTTCAGGCATTTTCTAAGGCAACAATGTAAACTGTGGTTGACTCTCCAGTGCTAAGAACAAGCAATAGACCCAAAATGGGATCTCTTGTGCTAAGCCTCACCAAGACTTAATACCTAGCCTCTCGGCAGTTTCAGCCTCTCCCAGGGGTGGAATTTTAAAAACCATCATTGGAATTCCATGGTCAGCACCCAGGAGGTGATGAGCCTCATAAGACCCCTGCTTCCCTTAAGGGAAGGTGACCTTCCTGAAACCCTCCATTCTCTTCACGTCCTTGTCCCACTCTCTGCATATAGAACTTTCTGTTTGGTACAGCTCCTCCCGGTACCCCTCCGTTCACTAGATGGGATGCAGCTCGATTCGTGATCTTTACTTTGACCGAGTGGAATTTTGTTCATTAACACTGCAGCTGCAGAACCAGCTCAAATTGGCCTTATTCTCTTTCTAATAAGTCACTGAGTTGTTTTGTCCACAAAACAAAATCCTTAGTTCATGCTGCTGAAGCATACACAGAGAACGTTGACCTTCAGTAATACCCAGAACCACAGTTTCACCCCCAACCTCAAGGAACCAAAAACAAACAAACAAACAAAAAAACCCCGAGACTTGACCGGAACTTGATCATTGGAATCCTTTCATGAAGGGTCTGTCGTCCAGAAGGATCTGGTGCTGAAGCCTCCAGCGGAAACCTGCCCTGTCAGCACTTCACACACCTGACTGTCCTCCCCTAAGCCCTTACCACCCAAACCCTCCATCTGGGAGGCAGGTTTGAGCCTCACGTCCTGTCTTCTTGCTGGTCCACTTCCCAATAAAGCCAGTGCCAGGGTACTGCTGGCTTCTATGTGCGTGGGGCAACTTGGTACCACCACCAACCAGGCTATAAAATCCACTTAGCTACAATGTATCTAAATGAATGTGGCGTATCCTTCCTGTGATTTGGCCGGCATAGCTACTTCTCTTCCTGGCTCTGGAGTTTCCTGTTTTCTCTCCCCTTGTTTTTCTCTCTCATAAATGGTTTGGTTCTTTGCTTCTTTGCTTGGGGTTAAATACACTTCCATGGATGTCTGCAAACTATACCTCCCCCCTCTCCTTCCCATGCTTAGAACTGGTTCCATGGGAAGGTGCCCCGTGGCAGGAGGGAAAAGGCAGCCCCAGTAGCACAACCCACTCCCCCCCCCCAACTTTTAGAAACCTGCCGGCTGCTTGCTGCTCTAGGCCCTTCCCTGCAGCAACAGCACTGCTTGCCCAGTAGGAGCCACACTTTGCACACCTACCACTTACCTTCCTGACCAGGCTGGGGCTGTGAATTTCTCTGGGCCTTGGTTGACCCCACAGATATTTACTGAGCAAATATACTATACCATCGAGACACCAGAGATAGTATGGTTCCCGCTCTCAAGTTTATAACCTGGTCAGGGAGGTAAGATATGCTCATAAAAAGACAAGTGTGGCCCTGGCCGGTTTGGCTCAGCGGTTGGAGCATCTGCTTGTGGTCCAGAGAGACCCGGGTTCAGTTCCCGCTAAGGGCACGTACCTTGGTTGCGGTTTGTCCCGGCCCTGGTTGGGTCATGCGGGTGGCAACCACTCGATGTGTCCCTTTCACATCGATGTTTCTCTTTCTCTCTCTCCTTCCCACTCTATCTGAACAGAAAATGGAAAATGTCCTCGGATGAGGATAAAAAAAAAAAGACAAGTGTGGCCCAGCTTTTGTGGCTCAGTGGATTGAATGTCGTCCCATGGACTGAGAGGTCCTGGTTCAATTCCTGGTCAGGGCACATGCCTGGGTTATGGGCTCAATCCCCGGGGGGGTGGGGGGATACAGGAGGCAGCTGATTGATGTCTCTCTCTCACACTGATGTTTCTCTCTCTCTCTCCCTAAATTAAAAAAGAAAAAAAAAAAAAAGAAAAGTGTGGAGAAGGTACAGTGCTCCCAGCGTCACTCAGACATGCAGCTCTGTTTCAACATTTCTGAGTGAGACCAAAGAGAAGGCTTCTGCACAAGTTTTCTACTTCCTCTTGGAAAAACAAGTTCTACCAGTTCAAGTAAGAGTCAATTTATCTAAAATTTCTGTTCTCACATTCTTGAGGCAGAATGTCAGGATCAGAGGCTCTGGGAGCTTCTCAGAACTAGTGAATGAGAATGGGGGGGTGGTAATTCTAAGGTATGCTCAAGTTTCAGAACAATTGCTTACAATTGAGGAGGTAGGAACAGAAAAGAGAAAACCCTCAGCCGGGAGGTCAGGTCTAGAGTATCCAGGCCCTGGAGGCTCTTTTTGAAAGCAGCCAGGCAGGCTGAGCCCACCAACAGGAAGCCTGCTGGCTCAGGGCACTGGGCTCGGGCCGGGGTGGAGAAGCCTCACATACCCTTCCAGATGTAGATCTTGCCACAGAGCCCGTTGTCCAGCACAAAGCAGTCATCAGGTATCAGCAAGTCGAGGGCAAAGGGGCTAGAGTCGGCCACCTTGGTCAGGTTCATCTGTCCAGTGGCATCAGAGACCTTGGGGAAGATGTGACAAAATAAACACTGCCACTTTCAAAAAGGAGCTGAAGCTGAGATCCCAGAGGAACTACCTTGCACATATACCTCAACCCTTTGGAATGTTAAATAGGACAAAGTAACCTTTAGACTGGGCCTCAGCAACACTGTGTTTCAAAGATCTGTTTGCAAAGATAACGAGAAGGCGGGTAGGAAGACTACTGGACTGAAAATTTAAAACATTTGGAATTAGCATCACTGTGTCATGTTACCTTTCTTCTAATGATGTAATTGTTCCCCTTTCCTTTCTCATAAATACCCATTACCTTGTCTCCTAATCAGAACACTATTTGGGCTTCTCTGCCTGAATCAGTGTATCCCAAATAGCTCTTCCTTTGATCTCAAATAAATGCTTGTTGCCTCTCAGTTTGAAAGGACTTTACATTTTTAGGTTAACAGATGAGCAGTGCTGAATAACCCTCTCCCCCCAACACACAGTGCTAACCTCCATCCCAGGAGTAGCTGCCTCCCTGCCCCACAGCCCCCATCCACTGCGCAGGCCCGGCGAGCAGATGGGACAGGGGGGAAAGCTCGGATGGGCAAACCCTAGGCAGCCCCAACTCTTCCCATCACCCTCATCACTGCAGCCCAGAGGCCCCAAATCCATTTGGAAATTAAATGGATCCACATTACAAATAAATGCAAATAATTCAAAAAGTAAAGCTCAACATCTCCTTCAAATCTTTCTCCAAGAAGTGAAGTAACATTTATGTCCTCAAGAGAGCCGGACATCCGCCCACTTCCCATCCTCCCCTCGCTCCTAGCCCTGGGCAAATTGCCCTGGTGCCTGGACCAACCTTCCCAAGGCTCTCTCCCCTCCCTGGTGCACCAGGCTCCCACCTCCTGCCTAGTCCCAGGGCAGACCGGAATGCCCACCTTATACAGAGCCGCAGCCTGGGCATTAGTCTGGTCAGCTGTGAGGTCTTCCTCAGGGTTGCCCTCCTTCAGGGCAGGCTTGGGGCCCAGGACCTGCAGGAGTCAGGGAGGACCAGGTTTCCAGGGGTTCCTGGGCACCCGTCCCAGACCTTCCCAACCCATTATGCCCAGGGACGCTGACTCTCCTGGAGCAAACTGCCCTGCACAAGGGCACCCAGCAGAAGTGAGTGAGGGCTGGGTCCAGGCCACCCCACCCTCCAGGCCACTGGTCTGTCCGCCCAAACAGGTGCTTTGCTCTGAATCACACCAAGGCACCCTATGAACTAGCCACAGCCTCCCCCGCCCCCAAAGCAGTGGCCCAGATGACCCCCACCCAATCCTCCACTGACTGCCCGCATGCCCCAGCTGATCCACCCCGTCGTCCCCTCCACCTGGATCATCTCAGCGGGCTCCTCCCCGTCCGTGACGATCTCCACCTGGGCCTTGCCCTGCCGCTCACTGTCTCGGATGGCCAAGGCCAGGTCCCTCGCCTTGTTGCGCTCCAGGATGTTGGACTTTCCGCCACACCAGGTGAAGATGTTCTGAAGGGAAGAGGGAGGCCTGGGTTAAAGAGGCGTCTCCGAGAACGGTAATGACAGCACTCTGGCCGGAGTGTTTCTGTGCCCACTCCCCGTCTCCCTCCTGCTTTATTTTTCTCCACATCACTTATCAGCACATGTTTCATCATCTCTATCTTGTGTATAATCTTTCTCCCCTGATTAGAAAGTAACTTTCATTAAGGCATGAATGTTTTTGTTTTGCTTTGCTTTTGCGTTGTCTGGTGCTGTATGGCCAGTGCTAAAACAGACTGGCACATATCTAAGCACACGACAAATGGAATGAACGAATGGGTGAATGCCATCCTTGAGCATCCTGCCTACACCCCTGCCAGGCACAGCCCTCATCCTGTCTCCTGAGCTGACCCTCCTGCCTCCATCTCACTGCTTCTGGTCCTCCTTCCACAAAGCCCCCGGGTTGATCTTCCTGCCTGAAATCTTTGGCACTACAAGATGTGGTCCAGGTTCCTCAGACCAGTCAGTCTCCTCCTGACCTGGGTCTCACCCTCCTTAGTCATTTTCAATCCCATGGCTCCTGTCCCCACCCTGTCCCTGCTGTCAACATGCATGTCTACACCCTTCCCCCTCTCAGTGCCCCAGCTCACCTGTCCCTTCGCCTGGAATGGCATCTCCCCTCCAGGAAGGCTCCTTCCTGGGACAATGGCTTTGGCTCAGGTTTAAGAGACCCTCCCTGCCCAAGCTCCCCCAGCACACATGGCTGCCTCTCTCAGAACCCTCATATCCTGCCACGGATTACAGCAGGTGACAGGCCAGGCCCGTCGTGGCTGCCTTCCCAGGGCAACCAATTGGTGATCCCCGGGCTGGCTCAGAGCAGGCACCATGGATTCGCTGAGTGAAAGGAGGAGTGAACAAATGAACGAACGGCCTGGCAGCGGCTCACTCAGAGGTACCGTGGCTCTGGGAGAAGAAGGGCAGGTGCAGAGGCAATGGCTAGATCGCGGAGGGGGGTTTCTGTCCTTCTGAGCACAGGGATGTTATGTTTCTAGTGGCTGGAGCAGTCTCTCCTGGGATGGACTCAGGGCTTCGCAGCTTCTCTCCCTCCGCCCTGGCCTCCTGGTCCCTGACCTTTCAAAAGACGTGCCAACACAGAGCGCTGTCCCACCCTGCCTACCCACCTGGCCCAGGTCCAGGATGAAGCAGTCCCCAGTGTTGAAGCTGTCCCAGGTCAGCGCGCGCTCGGTGGCACGGATGTTCTTCTTCCCCTTCACCTGGTAGAGCTTCCTGATGGCAGCTGGGGTGGCCTGTGCTGAGGTCTTGTGAAATGCTGACTCCACGCCACCTTCCTGCGGCCCAGATGGCCGGTCTGAGTGCGCTGGCCAGAAGCCCGGGGCCCTCCGCACCCCACCCCACTGGGAGACCGGCAGAAAAGTGGGGAGGACCCAGCCTCAGGACCCCTGGGCCTTTTGCAGGTGAGAACCAGCTGCAAGCGAGACAGGCTCTGGGAAAAGCCCCAGGGCAGGCTGACCTGATACTTGAGGCCCCTTGGGAAGTAGCTCATGAAGAGGTCGGACTCGTTGCCCTGCACCTCTCGGTGCTGCACGGGCCGCTCCCCCAGCAGGGTGTTGAGGTGCACGGCCAGCACTGCGCAGGCGCCCTGCTCATCCCGGGAGGACTGCTGGCCTAGGGTGGAGCGAGGGGGCGGGGCCAGGCCTGTGAGACCCAGGCCCGCCTCGGGGGCCCCCAACCCCCTCTGCTCTGCAGCCCCTCACCTATCCACAGGTGCAGGTGGGAGAGCTCCTCCGGGCCATTGTGCAGCACTAGGTAGGAGTCCCCGGAGAAGAAAACGCCCTGGTTCTCTCGGGCCACCGGCACCGGCTTCAGCTTCTCCACCCGCCACACGTGCAGGCCGGGGTCCTGCACTGATGCCGAGAATGGAGAACCGCTGTGGGGGGAGAGGGGGACAGCCGCCAGGGCCCCTGAGCGATGGCCTCAAGCAGAGAGACCCAGGAGGCCTGGGGACTGCCGTGTGGGGAGCAGGGGTGCTGGGAGGAAATGAAGGAGGGGGTGGAAGGGGGTGGGCGCACGGCCTACCTCTGGGAGATGGGTGTGTACATGCTGTTTCCGGATCTGGCAAGACAGAAGCAGTCATTATTATTACAAATGCCATGACGACCACCCTTCACATTGGTCTGGGAGGCCCTTCCAGGTGACCAAGTGCTTTCATATTCATCAACTACTTCATCTCCAAGAGCCGGAGAGATTACACCTGGCTCCATTATGCCGGCAGAGGAACTGAAGCTCAGAGGGTCTAGGTCCAGAGTCACACAGCTAGTGAGAGGCTAGGGAAAAGCGGGCCTCTGGCTGCTGGGCCCGTGTCTTCCCCATGCTGTGACCACCCGGCTACACCTCTCTTCTGCCGACAGACCTGTAACTCTGAGCATTGCATGACACTGGAGCACAGCTCTCTAAGCAATAACTGCTTATATTAGAAAAGTTCAAAATCAACGACTTAAGTTTCCACTATATTAATTTTAAAAAAAGCAAATTGAACACAAAATAATCAAAAGAAAATAAATAATAAAAACGAGAGCAGAAATCAATAGAAAAAAAAAAAGAGAGAGAAAATCACTGAAGCTGATTTCTGGGGGGGGAAAAATCACTAAAATTGATGCACCTTTAGACAAATTGATTAGGAAAAAGAAAAGACACAAATTCCTAAAACAGAAATAAGAAAGAACATCATGACCTGGCCGGTTTGCTCAGTGGTTAGAGCATCGGCCTGTGGTCCAGAGAGACCTGGGTTCGGTTCCCGCTAAGGGCACGCACCTGGGTTGCGGTTTGTCCCCAGGCCTGGTCGGGGTTGTGCAGGAGGCAACCAGTCAATGTGTCCCTCTCACATCAATGTTCCCCCCCCCCACCCACTCTATCTGAATATAAATGGAAAAATGTCCTTGGGTGAGAATTAAAAAAAAAAAGAAAATATTACAAAAACTGTATGCTGATATATTCAACAACTTATATAAAATGGGCAAATTCCTTGAAGGATACAAATTATGAAAGTTCACTTAAGCAGAAATAGATTATCTGCATAGTTCTAATATCTATTAAAGAAACAACTTGTACTTAAAAAGTCCTCCCCCCAGAAAAATTCCAAGTCCAGATATATTCTACCAAAAATTTAAGGAAGACATCATACCAATTCTATATAAACTCTTCCAGAAAATAGAAGAGAACACGCCTCACTGTATCCTATGCAGCCAGTATTATCCTGATTTCACAAAATGTAACAGCAAGGAAAATTAGATCAATATCTCTAATGAACACAAAAAATATTAACAAAATTTTATCATGGAATTCAATATAAAGGATAAAACATATGACTAAATGGGGGTTTATCCCAATAATGCAAAGTTGGTTTAACTTTTTTTTCTTTGTTGATTTGAGAGAGAGAGGAAGGGAGAGGGAGAGAGAGACAGAAACATAAATGAGAGAGAATATTGATTGGCCGCCTCCTGCATGCCCCCCACTGGGGATCAGGCCCACAACCTGGGCATGTGCCCTGACTGAGAATGGAACCTGCGACATCTTGGTGCATGGGTCGACACTCAACCACTGAGCCACATCGGCCGGGCAACTCTCTTTATTTTTATTCCAATAGATATAGAAAAAGCAGTTAGCAAAATTCTCAATCCATTCCTGGTTTTTAAAAAAACAAAAAACTGCCCTGGCCGGTTTGGCTCAGCGGTTAGAGCGTTGGCCAGCAGACCAGAGAGTCCTGGGTTCAGTTCCCGCTAAGGGCACGTCCCTTGCTTGCAGTTTGTTCCCTGCCCCGGTTGGGGTCGTGTGGGTGGCAACCACTCGACGTGTCTCTCTCACAAGGATGTTTCTCTCTCTCTCTTCCTCCCGCTCTATCTGAAGATAAATGCAAAAAAAAAAGTCTTTGGGTGAGAATAAAAACAACAACAACAACAAAAACCCCACAAAACTCTCAAGGCTCTGGCTGGGTATCAAAACAAAAAACCAACAAAAAAAGAAACAAGCAAACAAACAAGAAACTTTCAGCAAACTTCCTTAATCTGATAAAATGCATCTACCAAAAACAAACAAAACCCAGAAAAACAAAAACCCTAAAGCTAACATTAAACTTAGTTCCTTCTTTAAGTCTAAACCCCCTCTGAGGAATTTCACCCATCCCCAGGCATAAGCCATCACTTCCACATACCCAGCTTCCCTCAAATGCCAGGATGATTAACATCATCTTTATTCTATAGGTTGGTGGCAGCAATCTTTTTTGGACAAAAATTATCCAAGGAAAAAAATACTGAAGGCAAGCACTTAAAAATATCTTATCCTAGCCCTGGCCAGTTTGGCTCAGCGGTTAGAGCGTCGGCCTGCGGTCTGGAGAGACCCAGGTTCGGTTCCCGCTAAGGGCATGTACTTCGGTTGCAGTTTGTCCCCGGCCCTGGTTGGTCGTGCGGGTGGCAGCCACTCGATGTGTTCCTTTCACATCGATGTTTCTCTCTCTCTGTTCCCCTCTCTCCCTCCCACTCTACCTGAACAAAAAATGGAAAAATGTCCTCGGGTGAGGATAAAAAAAATAAAAATAAAAATATCTTATCCTAGCCCTGGGCAGTGCTGCTCAGTGCTGGCCCTTTTACTGAAGGGTCTCAGGTTCCCTATCAAGGGCATGTACCTGGGTTGCAGGTTCAATCCTCAGCACTATCCCCCTCCCCCCACCTTTGGGCACTTGTGGGAGGCAACCAATTGATGTGTCTTTTTCTCTCTCCTTCCCTCCCTCCCTCCCTTCCACTGTCTCTAAAAAAAAAATCAATGAAAAAAAATATCCTTGGGTAAGGATTAAAATATATAAATATTTTAAAAATATATATATATTTATATATAAAATCTTTTTAAATAAGATTTATTCTTTAGTTTTTATTTATTTATTTTTAATCCTCACCTGAGGACATTTTTTCATTTTTTGTTCAGATAGAGTGGGAGGGAGAGAGAGGAAGAGAGAGAGAGACACACACATTGAGTGGCCGCCTCTTGCACGACCCAACCAGGGCTGGGGACAAACTGCAACCGAGGTATGTGCCCTTAGCGGTAACCGAACCCGGGTCTCTCTGGACCGCAGGCCAATGCTCTAACCGCTGAACCAAACCGGCCAGGGCTATAAAATCTTTTTTAAATTTCAGCAAATGCACCCTTGCCAGGTTGCTCAGTTGGTTAGAGCATTATACACCAAGGTTGCACATTCGATCCCTGGTCAGGGCACATCCAATGAAATCAACCAATGAAAGCATAAATGAGTGAAACAACAAATCGATGTTTCTCTCTCCCTTCCTCTCTTTCTAAAATCAACCAATAAATAAAAGTGTTTTAAAATAATAAAATTAAATTAAAATTAAAATTCAGCAAATGCAGTAGATACAGCTTTACTCACTGTCCCTTTCATATGTGCCCATGACTAGAGGTTTCTTTTTTTGGCTTAAAATGCAGAGCCCACACCAGCAACTACTGCAACACAATTCATGCTGTGCACTGAACAGCATTTTTGGAAGATGAGCCCCAGCGGCACAGGGTAAGGGTTTGAGAATTTCAGGGTAAGGGGCAAACTGGCACCATCAGGAAATTCTTGGGGGCTGGGGAAGCAAACAAAAATCTTTCGGGAGCCCTGGCTGGTTTTGCTCAACGGTCAGAGCATCAGCCTGTGGACCAATGAGTCCCAGGTTCGATTCTGGTCAAGGGCACATGCCTGGGTTGCAGTTTGTCCCCAGTGTGGCTCTATCACATCGATGTTTCTATCTTTCTGTCTCTCCCTCCCTCCCACTCTGTCTGATAGTAAGTAGAAAAATATCCTCCCATGAGGAATAAAAGAACAACTTTGGGGGAGGTGGACAGAAGAGCAGAGGGTGCTGAGTCCCAGGAGCAAGGGGAGAAACAGGAGCGGTGGTAATGGGTGTTAGATACCACGTGAATGACGACTTTCCTTTTCCGCACTTAACTCACAACATAGCTGAAGGCATTTTTTGGAACCACACTTCCCCAAAGGGGGGAGGCGGTGAGGGGGAGGTTTGGAGAAGGAGCCTGTAGCATTTCTCCATCCCACAGAGTCACATGCTGTGCCCACATCCCCTGCAAGAGCAGCCTCGCCTGTGACTCAGGTCTGCAGTGGCGAGGCGGTGGCCCCAAGCCAGTGGGGAGAGCTCAGGACGGATGATGTGAACAAGAGGGCCGATTGTCAGCTTAACTGCTTTTCATTCTGAGCTCCCGATCTGAGAGCTCAGGCCGTGACTCAGGGCAGGCCGCCCACAGGCTGGGGCTCCAGGCCTCCCAGAGCCACTGTGGGGTCTTTTTTTAATTTATTTTTTTGTTACTCTTCACCTGAGGATATTTTTTCCATTGATTTTTTGATACAGTGGAAGGGAGGGAGAGAGAGAGAAAGAAATATTGACGTGAGAGAGACTCATGGATTGGTTGACTCCCGCATGACCCCAACCAGGACAAAGAATGGAACCTGCAACCCAGGGATGGGCCCTGGACTGGGAATCGAACCTGAGACCCTTGGTGTTCCGAGCCGATGCGCTAACCGCTGAGCAACGGGCCGGGGCCACTGCAGGATCTTGATGAAAAGGGTTTGGCTGCCTGCTCCTTCATCTCCCTTGCTCTCCACCTTGGCTGCCCGTTAGAATTACTTCAGGGTCTTATAAAAATCGGGATGCCCAAGCCCTAGCCTGGTTTTGGATTCCACAGGTCCAGAGTGGGGCTTGTGCGCCAGCACTTTGAACATATGTTCCAGGTGATGCTGATGCTGCCAGTTAACTGTCCAGAATTGGGTCTCACCCTGGCCTGCACATTAGAATCATCTGGAAGGCTGTAGCCACATAGCAGACCAGTTCAAATCAGACAGAAATTCCAGGTGACGCTAATGCACTCGGTCAGAGATGACACTCCTGCTACCTCATCATGTCCCTGCCCCTCAGCCTGCGCCTCCAGACTCTCACCCGCAAGGGGCCACCTCTGGCCTTTCACTCTCCTGTCCCTCCCAGCCCCCTGCCCAAGCCCACAGCTCCTCGAGCCTCCTCAGTGAGCACCTCCTCCCTCATGTCCATCAAAGCCCCTCCACCCCTCCAGGCCCATATCAAGTCCCGGCTGTCCAAAGAGCCTTCTAGGACATTCGGAGGCCTCGGCCTTCTCTGGGAGTTCTCCCCGCCCTCTCACCTGGGGGCATACACTTCAGTCCCTGCTCGCAGGCTCCCTCATAGCAGGATGGGACAGCTTCATGCCTCAACAGAGGAGGGGACAGCCTGAGAGTCCTGCATCCCTCAGGCTGCCCCCGAAAGGCTCTCCATTCCATTCGTGGTCTGTGCACTGGGCAGAATGCGAGGGGGCCACAGAAATGAAGAACAAGAACCTGTGGCTCATGGTCTGCCTGGAGGGGGCCATGAAGCAGGGAGCCATCACGCCAATGATGACCGCAGACAAAATTTCCCCGGGTCAGGGATGCCACAGAATCACAGATGTCAGCATTAGAGGAAACTTGATGCCGTCCTGCCCTACTCCAAATCTGCCTCTCATACATGCACATCGCAGAAATCGCTTCTGCAGCATCCCTCTCCATCCTCTTGAACACTTCTAGTGATGGGGAACTCACTTCCTCACAAGGCAGCCACTTCTCTACTTCTCCCGTTGCAGCCTTTGCTTTTTCCCATCCTGCCAGAGTACGGTGAGTTATGGGCCTGCCTGCCTTTCCTACTAGACTTTAAGGGCCTTTGGACAGGGACTATATTTTGCTTTTCTGAATCTAGCTGGGGCCTCACACTGTGCCTGACACCCCACAGGGGCTCAGAGAATACGTCTGATCAACAGGACTTGCTGGGCTCCAGTGATTAGACCAGATGGAGCCTGAGAGCACAGGACTTCAACAGGCTCAGACAGGCTAGAGCACCGGAGGCAGAAAGCAGGACTGGGGGGGGGGGGGGGGAGGATCCAGTCAGACTGTCCTGGGGTAGAGTCGGGGAGGACACATGCCCTGTAGCCTGCCTTTGAGGACACAGAGGGGATGGGGGGAGGGAGGAGGAGGGAGGGTGTCCTGCAGATATGCTTACATTTAAGGCAATGCTTGAAGGCTGTCAAAATGACAAAAGTCCTCTGGTGTATCTTCGCTCCGATTCCATTGATCCCTAACAGGTCCCTTCACCTCCCAGCCAGTCCCCGTTTGTCCCTAGTTGAGATGAAACAGTACCTTTCCAGACCCTGGCAGCCAGTCCTCACCTGTCGACCTAAGAGGGCCCCTTTCCCAAAAGGACACCAGATCCTCCCAGTCTGGGAGGAGGGCATTCTCGGGAGCTGGGTCCAGAGGCTTTGTCCAGAGACTCCTTGGCAGTACTCTTTCCTCTGACACCAAGTGGAACCCCCACCTTCCCCCGCCCCACCCTCAACTCCCTCCCGGCCTCAACCCCACCCCAGGCAGCTAGCAGACCCTCAACTAGGGTCTTTTTCAATTTGCAATATAATGAACTGGAATTCAAATGCTTGGTCTGCTTGGGCCCCTTCCCCAACCACTGTACAGTTACACCACAGTCCAGTCTTAGGGACAAGTGTCCTCAAATCTGAATGCACTTCCAGGCTGGCCGAGGGCCTTCTGGAGTCCAGTCACTTGGTGTGGTGGCCTCTGTCAGGAAGCTGGCACCACCACTCACATGTCAGGACAAGCCCCCATCCAGGAGTTCCTCATCAGTATCACGACCACAACTCACTGTCCTCTGAGCGGCTGTGAGGCGCCGTCAGATCAAGTACCTGGAGTCTGACGGAAGGCTGCCAGGACTGGGGCTGCAGGGCCTGGGCCTGGACCAAGCGGCTTCCAGAGCCCGGCAGCCAGCCCTCACCTGCCCACCTAAGAGGGTCCCACGGCCCAGCCCATGTTCACCTTTCCGCAGCTCTGCTTCAACTTCTCCTTCCAGGCTTGGCTTCCTCCCAGCCGGCCCCACCCCAGCTTCTCACTTCCCCTTGACTCCCCTGGGGCTGCCCCACCCACCTGCCCCACCCCTACTCCAACCTCTGCTCCAACCCCAGCTCGTGCTGAGGCCAAGCTGGTTCAACAAAGGCACCCACAGGGAGGCTGGAGGTCCGCCCCAGCCCAGGGGCCTCCCCATGGCCTTAGCCAGCTGCCAGACCCTCCCCCAGAGTCAGCATCTCTGAGTCTGCAACCAGCGAGAAGAGCCACACACACAGACAGGAAAGCCACCCCTGGCCAGCCCTGTCCCCACTCACCAGCCTCAGGCAGGCACATGTGCCCAGCGCCAGCCTCCACTGGGTTAGTCACTTTTCCTGGGTGGGGTCACAGCCTTCCAAGTGCTTTTTTTCCCTCTCCCCTGACTAGTCTTTTCCCTTGCCTTAAATGCATTTTTTCTTTTCACATCAGACTAGTAATATGCCCATGTTGTACACTGATTCTATACTGTGTCCTGCATGCCCAGGCCTTTCAAGTGTGCCCTCGGCCAGCTTCTCATGCATTCGCCAGACCTTGACTGTCTGCCACACGGTCTCCTCGCCAGGCCCTCTGAAGGACAGCAATAACAAGGTGTGGTTCTGGCTCGACCCAGGGGCAACTGTCTTGCCTACATCACATCACAGGGCCCTAGAGCTAGTCTGGTCCAACTTGATTGCTCATTTTCTTTTCTTTTTTAATCCTCACCCGAGGACATTTTTCCACTTTTTGTTCAGACAAAGTGGGAGGGAAAAAGAGGAAGAGACAGAGAGAGAGAGAAACATCGACGTGAAAGGGGCACATCGAATGGCTGCCTCCTGCACGACCCAACCAGGGCCAGGACAAACTGCAACTGAGGTACATGCCCTTAGTGGGAACTGAACCCGGGACTCTCTGAACCACAGGCCGATGCTCTAACTGCTGAGCCAAACCGGCCAGGGCTCGATTGCTCACTTTCCAGAAGAAACTAAGGTCCTGAGAGCACAAGTGACTTGCCCGCAGTCACATAAGGAGCAGGAGGAGAGAAAGCCTCATCCCCTCTGAGTCCGTGGAGTGCATGCGTGCTCGGGGCGAAAGTGAGCGCCCAGTCACACAGCCACACGCCGGCTCCTCGGCAGGGCTGGGTCGGCAGGCTGGTCAGAGATAAGGCTCAGCCCTCAGGGCAAGTCCCCTCCCCGGAGGAAGCAGTGTGGGCGGTGAAGCCAAATCAATGCCGATGTTCACATTTCTGTACCACAGCAAGATGGGAAGTTAAACGTTCTCTTCAAAGAAACACAAACTCTAGCTGGCATCTGAGTGTCTCCACCGCCAAATTGCTGGCCTTAAAAACAGGGTAATCTGGGTTGGAACCACAGGAGAACCGAGCTGGGCCGGTAAACTGGTACAGTGGAAGGAGTGGACAGTTTGGCTACTTACTGGCAGCGTGTCCTGGGGCAGGTGACTTACTTCCTGGAGCCTCTCCCTGTGCCCTATCTGTGAAATGAGCATGAAGACAAATATGAAGATTAAATGAGATCATGTAACTAATGAGCAAAGAATGGCTGCTTAATAAAACCAGACTTTTTTCTCTTCCCAACACTGAGAATTTACTAGGAGGACCCTAGTAAGTGGGCACAGTATCTTGGGAAGCAAGGCCCCCGACCCTCCTCCAGCGCAGTGGGATCGAGTTAAGCTGCAGATCGACCCTCCTCGCCCGCCCCAACTCGCACCCCCCAAGTTCCTGGACTCCGGTCTGCACCGGCGCAGAACCTGGGTGACTCTTCGTTCCGGCCACGGTGCACCCACCCCGGCCACAAGGATGAGTGGGAATCACTGTTCTCCACACTTAAGCCTCACCTGGCTAAAGGTGGCCCCATCAACACAGGAAAAAAATATATAAGGACATCTGCAAATTAACATCAAAACAAAGGAGCAGGTCCCTCAGCCTGGGAGTCTCTGGCGCCTTGTAACACGCTAAAGGCATTACCTGGTAACAAGATCCTAAAACTTTTTACCAAACTCACATTTTTTCTCCCTGTCCCGTCTTCCCCAGCAAGAATGCTCAGTTGGTCCCACGCGAAGTAAAAGCTTTCTTTACCCTGGACCCGCCCTCTCCGCCCCTCCTTACGGGAAACCAGAAGACACGATTAGTCAGGCGGGGGCGCCCCCAAAAGGAGAGGGAGGAGCGGGGCGCCCCGAGGAGGCGGTCCTGGAGCAGCCCAGACCCTCCTACCCCTAAAGGAGCAGCCCGCACGCCCCAGCGGTCACACCCCAAAGCGCTACTGGCCGCCAGTGTGGGCGCCGTCCCTCCAGCCGTCCCTCCAGCCGTCCCTCCTGTGTCACACGCACGGAAACACACGTAGAACTGCGGCCGGCATTGGGAAAGCTGAGACAACCATGCTATGGGGAAAACGTCGCTAGAGGGCTGCCCTGGTCACAGCCCAGTCAATCCATGGGTACTTTGGCTTCAATCAAGCTATAGCAGTTACTGTTGCCTGAACACCTACTATGTTCTTTGTGCTTTAAACAGGATCTGGGTTGGTCCTCACACCCACCATCATTATTATGCTTAATAGGTGACAGTTCAGGGAGGGTTAGGGAAGGTAGGTGTCTACATAAGAAGTCCAAACTTGTAGAGATTTTTTTATTTGAGCCAGACTGATGACAATAGTTGGGAAGCAAAATCTCAACAAATTGAGGAAATGACCCAGAAAATGGCAGTTTTACAGCTTATTTTATACTTTAGAATCAGATGTAAGGGGGCGGGGTTACATGAAAAGTATTGGTGGTAGATTAGGGAGGTGGGAGAAAGCAGAAACATCTCTCAGATTGGATAAAGAGTAAAACAGAGAGACATGCTTCTTTTACATTGGTGGGTATAGGATAGTTATCATCTATAGCACATAGAGATTGGTATTTGGAGAACGAGGTAACAGTGAAGGCTTCTGTGGTCTCCAGCTTTGGTGTGTCCAGAGGGGTCTGGAGAGTACTCTGACATTTCAAAGGAAATGTTATCTTAGATGCAAAAAGACAATGGATAGGCCCACTTAAGGTAAAGATTGACCTTCGTCAAGGAAAATTACAAGCCTAGGATGTGATTACCCCCTAATAACTTGCTTTTATTTTACTTTTTCCGTTTTTAACCCTCATCCTAGGATATTTTTCCATTGATTTTTAGATAGAGTGGAAGGGGTGGGAAGGAGAGAGAGAGAGAAACATTAATGTAAGGGACACATCGATTGGTTGCCTCCTGCACAATCCAGGACCAGGGATAGAACTTGCAACCGAGGTACATGCCCTTGACTGGGAATCAAACCCAAGATCCTTCAGTCTGCAGGCCGACACTCTAACCGCTGAGCCAAACCACCTAGGGCCCCCATGACGTTTTTAATTAGGAATCTTTATGTTAAGGCCAGCCTATGTGGTTACTTTCAGTCTCTGAGTTTGTAAGGCCACCATGCAGGCTCCCCCTGAGCTTGTCAGGTAGAGTATGCATCCCCTTTTTCATCCACACAGGTAACGTGCCCAGGGTCACACTGCCAGTTCAGTAGTAGAAGCAGGATTTTTAACCCTGGCTAGTCTAGCTTCAAAGCTGGTGCTAGACCTGCAACACCTCAACCTCCTCCTCTTCATTCAGAGGAAAACAGGCCAGACAGTGTCTGCGCCAGGAGGCCAGGAGTTCTGGAAGGGAGTCAGACAGCAAGGGGCCTGCTCTTCTACCTTGGCTTCTAAGTGGAGACAGCCATGAGCCGCACACCGGCAAACCCACAAGATGTCAGGTGGCAACAGGCACCAGGATCAGGGCATGGCCCTGGCTCCCGGACACAGTGGTAATAGGAGTTTTTCCTTTCTTGGGAAGCAGCTTCAAAATTTCGAACGAGCATGAGTTTCTCCAAGGCCCACGGATAGGGCCTGGGGTAAGGAAAGCGATTCAAAGCTTGGTTCTGCGCCTTTCCATCTGGTGAAGCTGGGCAACCACACTCCCCTGAGGAATGCTTAGCGACACCTTCCCTCTCCTCTGCTCCCTCCTCTGACCAACCGCTCTCCTGCAGACTCAGCTTACAAATCCCTCCTCTGAAACATGTAGTGATCCCCGAATCAATCCTCAGTGCTCCCCACATGCTCTGGGCATCAAGGCCACTGGACCATCTGGGTCTACAGCCTCCAGGAGAAAACATTTCAGCCACACCCCACTAACAAAGGTGGAATTGTATTCATGGGCAACTTAGTCAGTCACTGGCCTGCTTCCAGACAGCTACTAAAGCCTTGCTAGGCATAAACCTTCCAAAGCATTTAAATTTTTTACATTTTTAAGGTAAAATTTACAGTGAAATGCACAAATCATAACTGTACAGTTGAATAAGTTTTTTTTTGTTTTTTTTGTTTGTTTGTTTGTTTTTTTTTTTATCCTTACCCGAGGACATTTTTCCATTTTTTACTCAGATAGAGTGGGAAGGAGAGAGAGGAAGAGAGAGAAACATCGATGTGAAAGGGACACATCGAGTGGCCGCCACCCACACGACCCAACCAGGGCCGGGGACAAACTGCAGCCAAGGTACATGCCCCTAGCGGAAACCAAACCCGGGTCTCTGTGGACCGCAGGCTGACGCTCTAACCGCTGAGCCAAACCGGCCAGGGCAGTTTTTTTTTTAATTAAAAAAAATGTTTTCCCTTTATTGATTTTATAGAGAAAGGAGAGGAGAGGAAGAGAGAGATAGAAACATCGATGAGAGAGAACATCAGTTGGCCGCCTGCTGCATGCCCCCCACTGGGGATCTGGCCCACAACCTGGGCATGTGCCCTGACCGGAAATCGAACTGAACTGGCGACCTCTTAGTGCATGGGTTGACGCTCAACCAGGGAGCCACACCGGCCAGGCGAATGAGTTTTGATATATGCAAACGCCCATGTGACCCAAGGCACCCCTACCAAGATATAAAACACTTCTACCACCACCCACAGAAAGTAGCTCTTCCATCACAGTTCGCCCGCCCCTCTAGCTAGGGACCATGTCAGGCTATCCTTGTGACCCCAGCACCCAGCAGAGCACTCAACAGGTAATAGACACTCCAAAAATTGTTTTATTGATGTTTTAACAGATCAGACAGCAAAATCCCCACATTCCAGTACTGTTCCAGCTTCTGTCACCTTGGGAAAGTTGCTTACACAGGTTCCTTGCCCATGAAGTGAAGCGAGGACAATACCCCAGCCCTCCTACCTTGGGGGATTGTGGGAATACATGAGACAACCTATTGGAGGCAATTTGAAAAAAGGCCCACATGCAAGGTGCTAGGACCATTATTATTATTTCATTTTAACAGTTGTTGTTTTTTTAACCTTCACCTGAGTATATTTTTTTCATTGATTTTTAGATAGAGTGGAGCCCGGCCAGTGTGGCTCAGTGGATTGAGCTTCGTCCCATGGACTGAGAGGGTGACCGATCAATGTTTCTCTCTCACATCGATGTTTCTATCTCTCTCTCCCTTCCTCTCTCTCTAAAAAAATCAATTAAAAAATCCCCACATATTTAGATAGAGTAGAAGGGAGGGAGGGAGAAAGAGAAACATCCATGTGAGAGAGACACATCGATTGGTTGCCTCCCACATGACTGACCCTGGGCCGGGAGTCGAACCTGCAGCCCAGGTGTGAGCCCTTGACCAGAATCGAAGTTGAGACCTTTTGGTCCTTGCGCCAACGCTCTAACTGCTGAGCCAAACCGGCTAGGGCCATTTAAATAGTTTTTTAATGAAAGCTTTCTATAAGATTACTTTATTCCTGCACCTTTTCTATTGTTTCTTCCTTGTATTTGCCTTTTCCTTCTCCTACTTGGTGAGATTTAGCTTTATGTTCAAGGATCTTTTTGTGGTCTTTATCCAGCTTTAGTCTAGTGATAAGCACCGCAGTGGGGGGTGCCCAGGTGCACGGTCGTGCCATCGGCCTTCTCCTGCCGCACTGGCTCAGTGTAGAAGGCATACTTCTTCCTGGAAATCTGGACTACTGTGCCCATCCGCTGCCCTCTGTAGTGTCCTTACACAACCTGAACGTCATCATCCTTTTGGGTGGGCATGAATCGAACACTATATTCTGCCTCAGCTCTTGGGAAAGAGAAGACATACTCTTCCTGCGAATGTAGGAAGGGGCTTGAAAGGCCTTATATGGTTCTTCCTCTGGTCAGAAGTCACAAAGGGACTGAACTGAATTTTGGCTGCTGGTGCTTCAGCTATGATCGCAAAAGGAAAGAGTGGCCATTATTATTAATAAACTCCTACATCAGGGACAAACATCTGGCTGAAAGAAACCGGGACAGGAGGCATCAGACACTGACTTCCGGCCTTGGCTGCTTGGACTCTGGCCGACGTCTGAGGCTCCCAGGACAGCCAGCTTTCTGCTTCTGTGTCCATGGACTCAGGCTATGAACTGATTTCCTGGGCTAAGAATTTCCAGAAATTGCAAAGGATTCTCCCTAAGCAAGTTCCCCGCCTGCCACACAGCCCTCTCAGAGCCTCAGTTTCCCAATAAAATGCAGGTGCTAGACAAGGAGACCCCTTCTGGCTCCTCCGACTGGGGTCTGGAAGCACAGTGCGGGCTCAGCTGCTGCATTTCCTCCGCCTGCGGGACCGACAGGCTTCTGTTGCAATCCCCCAGCACGTTCCTTTGACGGCACTGACTCAAGATGCTTCTGATCTTTCAATCCGACCTGCAATGAAACCTTCTAGATTGTTTCAACCAGTTCTGAGGAACGGCCAGGGGTCTGGATGGCCATTTTGTTTTCTGCATAAAGCTCAAGATTTGAAACATTTTTGTTTGTTTGTTTGTTTGTTTTATCCTCACCCGAGGACATTTTTGCATTTATCTTCAGATAGAGCAAGAGGGAGAGAGGGAGGGAGAGAGAGAAACATCCACGTGAAAGGGACACATCGAGTGGTTGCCACCCTCACGACCCAACCAGGGCCAGGGACAAACTGCAACCAAGGTACATGCCCTTAGTGGGAACCGAACCCCGGTCTCTCTGGACCACAGGCCGAAGCTCCAACCGCCGAGCCAAACCGGCCAGGACAGGGCAGTTGTTGTTTTTTATCCTCACCCGAGGATATTTTTCCATTTTTTGTACAGATAGAG